CCCTATGATGAATAAGACACGTTCAAATGAAGGACTGATGGGTGCTATATCTGAATTGATAGTCATATCATATGTATATGATATGTCCAATATATATATATATATATATTTACAGTTTGGAACATGCTTTTACATAAATTATCTTAACTGATCCAAACCTGGGAGGCGGGCATTACCCTCATTTTAAAGACAAGAAAACTGAAGTTCAGAGAAACCTTGTGACTTGGCACAGGTCACACAGACAGGAAGAAACCAACACGAAGCTCCAGCTGAAGACGCCATTAAGGAAACAGCATCCGTGATTTGGAGAAACCCCACAAGTAAGCTCGTCTCTGTAAAAACAGTAAACCCCACACCAACCTGCAAAGCTTTTCACAGACACAGGAGCAGGACAGAGTTCTACCAAGATGTGCAGGGTGGGTTCCCACTAAAAGGACTAACAAATAACCATCGTAGCTCTCCATTTTAGGGGTTTCATGGTGATCACCCTAATCAGTGCCCAGTACACAATCAGTGATTTTATCCTCATTCGGCTTGCTGTGCCTACAGAAGTGTAATCTATTATAGTATACGGGAAGTTAGTGTTTGTTGAACTGTTATTAAAGTATTTTCTATCACTGTAGAACAGAGGCAGCCTACAGGGCAGCAGGAGCCAGGATACTATCAGGCAGAGCAGGGCTGAGGGCTGGCTCTGCCAGGTACCAGTTGTGAGGCAAATCCCTCCCTCACCTGGGCTTCCTTGACGACAGAATGAGCTGTTGGGAGGATGAAACAAAATACCGCGCCTGGAACCCCAGACACAGAGGTTCTGTTTGGCTGTTTCCATGTCTCTTCCTTATACAACATCAAAAGAATGAACACTTGTGGAATCTAATATGGAAAATTCTTTCAAATAAAGAAAGGCTCAATCTAGTCATACTTATTAAGTAATACTGCTTGGATCAGAAAATATTAGACTTTGAACTGAATCAACTTTGGATGATCTAAAAGCAATTTATACAAAGCCTTTATGGAGCCTAAGATATAGCTCCAGGCAAGTCCTAATTTGTTTCTTTCTGGCTGTGCTACCTGGTACCCAGACTGAGTCACGTAGTTCATCAGTTTCCTTGTCTTTAAAATGTGACTCATGCCCGCTTTCAGGTTTGTGGGCAGCCGGTAAGGTCACTGGCCCAGGAACTACTAATATTTTTATTTAGACGAGAGCATTCAAAGCACAAGGACTTCCCCATGATGAATTTCCCTCATTCATACAGAGCTAAAGTTTGGGCAGAAATATGTCTTTCTCTTCCTGTTTAGGAGTCTTTTTTATTTTGTGAAAATAGAGGTATTATTTCATTTTCCCATAAGTATTTTCTATAAATGGAGTCCTTCTATAAATGGTTTTAAGTTTCGCATTGGGGAACTCTTTTCCCATTTTCATAACTTTGAAGAATGTGGTCTCTAAACTTTATTAATTCCATTACTCTCCTTTATTATTCATTTTAAGAGTACTTTGACTTCTCCTAAATATCACTTGAGAAAATTTCTAAAGATTGAGATTAGGCTGTAAATACTGGAAGTATTTTTCCTCTTTCTGATATATTTTCATGCACTGTCTCATCTCCACAGGGCTTGGATTGAAAAGCTGATCTGCCATGTGCCACACACACACGAAGAGTTGTGTAGGACACCCTGTTTGTGCAAAAATGAGATAACAGGTGTGAATAGTTGGAAAATTTCAAGGCTCTATATGCATTAAGGTATTATTATATAGATGTGAGTGCAACATTTATTTATTAGGGTTATGGAAACAGGGGAGCATTTCACAACTTCTGAGCTAATGTGTCCAGTTTAGAATTATAGGCTAGAAAAGCTATGTTTTTGGCATAATAGGAAACCTCATTGTTTAAATGTGTTTCCATCATTATGTTCAGTAGGTTAAAAATTGCTACTAGTACTAAATTCAATTTTGTGTCTCACATATTCATCTAAGACAATTTGATGCCAGAATATTGTTTGTATCAGAATAAAAGCAAACAACACTACAATTTTTGCAAATCCCCTGATATTCCAAGACAGGTATTTTAAAAATTGTTTCAAATTGGAAACAAGTAACAAAACGCAATCCTAGAGTCATCTTTTAAAAAATATTTGCCAACAAATAAACTTAATAGGTGGAATGGACATTAAATTGATCTAAACTGTAAGCACTGGTTTTCCAAGTTAAGCAAAGCATTTGCAAACATCTGTCGAGCAGGCCTGAAGTAGGCAAAACTCCTATGAATGACTGCAACTACCAGGAACTTAAGGTTTCTGGCCTATGGCTGGAATTCTAATCCACTCTGGTGGGGGCGTTCTGAGAACACGGATCTGTCCTTGTGATTGTCTATTAACTGTATTTTTCTTTCTTTTAGCAAGTAAGAAAGGAACCCTGAAGATGGACTTCTGTGACTTAGCAAGAAACAGACCGGTTAGGCATGCATTCACTAAGCTATAGTGAGCCCCTAGGGGAAGAACCACAGGGGCTGACCTGAGCACTCCTGGTGGAAAGGAGGGAGGCGTAGCTAGCTGTTTGCCTACCGGGATGTTAACTGCTAACTCAAGTCTTCATTCAGGAAGACTCACCTTGATTGGCTAAGCACATAATTTTGGGAAAGAATATGGTTTACAGAGTATGACAGGTTTTAAAAAAGCAAATGGATTAAAAAAGTATTACAGCAAATGACCAAAAAAAAGGAAGAAGAAAAAAACATCAATTGAGTGGTTGAGTGATGGAAAAGTCACATAAATTAAGCTGTTTAGCAACAAAATTACCGAGTATTTAATATTTTGACAGGTTAAAGCTTTGAAATGGCACTAGTTTTAAGAAGTACATTACGTGTTCATTTCTCCATGATTTTTGTCATTTCCAAGGCTGCAATTAACATAACCTAAAGAGTTGCAATCCCAGAGTGTCTTTTCCTTATTGATCAGATTCCTATAGTGCCATCTCTTATTTTCTCTGCAGCAAACGTGCTATATTGAACAGCAGGGTTGTATTAGGTTGTCGGAAAAGTCATAACATATTTTTCTATGTTTTTCATTGCAAAAATGCATCAGGACTTTTCCGACAACTCAGTAGAAAATTTCTAATAAGCTCCTCGTTCTTGATGGGAACCTGGTTCTGTATCAGTCATTTGATCACTGTGACTACACGTGAGGTGAATAAGCACATTCCCACAGGTCACCGTAAATCACCAAATCCCAGCCACCTGTTTATCTCACTCCTCTTTCTGCTTTTGGGCTCTTCTCACCTGGCCAGATACAAGTTCAGTCAATTCCCTCAAGGGCAACACAACTCCTGAAAGCAATGCATTATGATTGCAGTGACAAGAAAAAGACCTAGACTGTTCCAAAGGTACTGCTGCCCCTAGTTCGTGAATCTCATAAAGGAAGGAGGAGGGCAATCTTGCTAGATAACCTCCGAGCATTCACACATAGGTGGGAAGAGTAATTAATTTCCTCTTTGAAAAACCTGTACTATGCGGAGAAATTTCATAAATCATATAAGCGGCTGAGATAGGTGATTCTGTTCCTGAATTTGGCAGTCAATAATAGCTAATGCTCATTAACACACGGTCCTTCCTTACCCAGAGAACAGGAGGGTTCAGAAAAGGCCCAGTTTGTATTAATACATAAAGACTACATGGTTCAAGCTTAAAACAAACCATGGCTCTGAAATGCTGTCATTAGAGATACTTAACCACATATTTGATCCACGGATACTAACAAGTAGCAGGAAACATATGAACAGTTTGGGGAAAGAAAGCTTTCAGACTCGATTTAAAAGAACATCAGCGAAAACAGTAGTAAGGGTTAAAAGACAATACTGAACAAGAGAGCAAGGGAACATTCTTTTCTTGTCTCTCCTAACATTTTCCGTCTCCCTTCAATACAAGATCCTCCATAATCCCAACACTGCCATTCCTTGCAAAAAGAACAATTCAAAATTGAGAAAGCTGAAAAAGGGAGGCACGGTCCCAGGCCCTTTCTCGCCGGGGGCATTGGTAGGCAGAATAGCCATGGTTTCCAGAACATTCTCTTCTCATTTTTCTTTTGTGAGCGGCATCATAGAATGTTTACCAAACGCTTTTAAAAACAGAAACAGAATCTCATCAAACAGTTGAGAAAAATATTTAACAACCAAGGTGAAGCAATTACAGTCAAATTTTCACCTCGAGATTCTCATCTTAGGTGTGGAAGGCAGAGAGAAGCCTCTTAACACATCGGTCTGAACCTAGAACGAAGATGAAAAGAGTTGAACCTGCCAATAGTTGTCAACAAGTCCAGAGCTTTAAAGCTCAGGATGAAATGGCAGAGCGAGCTGCCCATCTGAAATGCGCTGTAAGGACAGCACCGCTGTTTGGCTGACTTGAGTTTCTGAGCAGCTGTCTAAGGACAGGCCAGGGATGGATTTCCACACCAAAAACAAGGAAAGGTCTGAACGTGGCAGATCTCTCTTTTCAGTTATTTGTGACAGGCAGCACCATCATTTTCAACTACTCAAGGTGACAACATATGATGCAACTAGTCCCAACAGTATAATTCTATACAAATGTGTACTACGCATGGGAGGAAGTTAACATTACTTCCCCCCAACTTCTGCCTTGTCATCCAGCCAGTTTACGTTTTATAATCCAGACTTTTATTATTCATTTGCATTATGATTTGATTCTGGCTCAGTATTACTCCCTTTAGAGCAAAGACTTTCTGGGAGCAATGAGATCAGACACAATTTCTTCAGTAAGAATGGATGACAAGGATCTGTGTGTACCTTCCATTCCCAGAAAGGTCTGTTCCAGCCTAGTTCAAGTGAGCAGGGCATGAAAGCCATGGCATAAAGTGGTCAAATTCCAGTTGGCGTGGACAATAGGCATCCACTGTAAGCTATTGTTCAATATTAGAATCCATTACTCGCTATGGGTGAAAGGCAAAACAAAACAAAACAAACCAAAACATCACAGAGGCCTTTAACACCTTACCTGGGCCATCTGCCTCTCCAGTTTTGATCGCGGAATATCGTCAAAGTAGTTTTCATTTCTTCTCCTCCTTGCATCGCCCTGCATGATAATGTGAGGAACGTCTAGGGAGCCACCAGTGGTGTAAGTGCTTTGGCTAAGTGACGGAGACAACTGAGGAGGAGTGTGATTACCACTGGGTTCCTGAATGGAAATACATCATGAAGTAAATACCATAGCTTTGCGGCTAACCTTTGGTTGCAAAATCGTGACATACTGACAAGACAAACGGCGGTGGGTGGGGAGTCACTTTTGAATCAACTGCCAAGGAATGAATGACATTCCACCATGTTATTAATGGCATGATCGAGTCAATATTTTTCCCCCTAAGTATTTCAGGTCAAAGGTTTCAAGTATAAAGAATCAGGCTGTTTTCTTAAACCAGCACTGTGGGTGATCTCAGGAGGGAGCAGAGATGTCGGGCACCCCGACACTATCACGTGTGTTTATAAGGGAAGCAACTGTGTCTTTGTGTGGACAGAGAGTGTCCTCGCTATGGTAGATGCCATGACGAGAGGACTAAAATGGGAACCAGTGGGTCTTGATCCTCCATCAAAGAGTGGTCTGGCAACCAGGTGGGGAAGAGGACGCAGCATGGAAACACAGCAAGTCACACAGACAGACGGCAAGTAATGCATATGACAGAGGATGCGTAAAGATAACTCGAGCTGAGGGGAACTGGTCAGAAGTAAGACAAAGGGCAGCAGACAGCTGGGCTCCAGTGTTTGCAAATAAGAGGAGGATTGGGCCATGCTGATGCCCAGGTCTCCCCCAGGTGATCTGGACCTCCTCTGACAAATTAACGTTCTGTACTTTTTCTTGGGAATCTCTGTCTGTCATTACCCTAAATCTCTTCCAGGGAGCCAGAGGGTCGGGCTCAGACGGTGCAGGAAAGAGAGGAGAGTAAGCAGCAGGAAATGACTACTCGAAGCGGTTATTTCAGGATGCTTTAGGATTATTTTAGGGTTAAAGGCACTGATGGTGCCTTTATCTTTCTCCCCTTAAGTGTAGCAAAATGAAGGCAAGACAATAATCCTTTTTAGCCTCATTTTCCTCCCAATTTATTTGAAGCTCCTCTTATTGAGAGAGAAAAATAGGTCTTGTTTCTACCTTCACTACTCTCAGTGCCCTCAATGAGCCTCCGAACCTCCCCGTGCATCCAACTGCCCCAACAACCAACTTTCCTCAGGGCTCCATCCTGGAGCCGATTCGCTCCCATTTCCTGAAATCTTAGTGCATTTTCTTCCTTAAAACTGAATCAGACTCAAATCTTAACAGCTCCTCTCTTGCCTGACCCTCTGCCACGCTTACAGTGGTTATGCTGTTTGCTCAAGTTCACCGATAAGAGGCATTCTACCGCATTGCATCGCGGGCAGTTATGTCTAAGTGCCACGCTGGTGTTCATCATTCATCATCGTTACCTTTTCTGACAGTTGCAGAAAGAGAATGAGACGCAAGCAAGTGCAGGGCTGAATAAAGAGAACCAAGTTGGAATGCTCCAATGGTCATGGAGAGCTCAGCTTTTTGATGAATTTTAGGAAAGTTCCTTTCGGCCTCACGAAACCGAGCGACTATTGGCTACACTCCCCGCTCCATTCTGCCTGTCAATCATCTCTAGCATTTTCTCCTCTCTGCTCCTGCCTTCCTTCACCTTCCACTTTAGTTCTCTCTCCCCAGTCTAGGGTTTCCCTCTAGTGTTGCTACCCCATAATTCTAAAATCTAGCTGAATGGGTTTGTTAAATAAAATTCTAGATTCTCTATTCTTAATTTTTGAAGTGTATAAAGCTGGGAAATTTTTACTTTCTTAAAAAACAGAAGACCCCCAAGGTTAATTTTAAATCGATCTTTACTTAACTGTGGTCCCTGATCGGTTTTCTTTCTGTGGGTTTGAGGAGTTTCACAGAAAACTCATTTCCTCTCTCCTGGTGTAGATGGGAGCGTGGGGTGGCAGGTGCGGGAGTAGCTCTTTAAAGGTGGTGGTTTGTCAGATGTGTATCTAAATCTCAAAAATATATATTTAACCAATTGAGGGGAAAAAAAATCTTGTTTTATAAAACACAACCAAAAGTGAGATTGTTTTTTTTCACACGGATTAGGTAAGCTACGTGGAAAACAGCCTGTACTTCCTGACCCATTGCTTCAGTCATTTCATTGTAATTCCCCAAATAAATTTTGGGGGTAAGAGTGGAGAATGGCACAAATGTGCCGAGCACTTACCCTGAGCGTGATGGACCGAGGGGGCTTCTGTGGTGGGTCCTCGTGCAGCCTGTCTCCCAGAGATGCCAAAATACGTTTCCTGTGGCCAATCAAATTGATTTTTAAAACCTGAAACGACATATATTTGGGTTAAATATTTCATTCGAGAAAAGTAATTTTTGTATGTCCTAAGAGATGAAGGAACGAAAAGGGATACGTGCACAGTTTACCTGTGCACCGTGAGAGATGTGTGACATCAGTGTGACCCTTCAGTCCAGAGAGCTGGGGGTAACACGGAGACAGTCTCGAGGGGCAAAGTAGTGGGGGTAGGAAGAGAAGGCAGAGGTGGTGTTCCTTCTACTCCTGCAGCCCTAGCGTCCCATTCTTTACCCAGCAGCCCTTTTACAAGTATAAGTCAAGCCTTGTCCCTAACCATCTGAACTCGCTGTCGCTCTGTGAATAGAACCTGAGTCCTGACCTGGCCTCAGGGCCCATCAGGGCTGCTCGCTCTCTGTCACTGCATCCCTGCCTCTCTCCCCTCCTTTCAGGAGGCTCAGTCACGCTGGCCTTCTCTGTTCCTTGATCGTTCCAGACTCATTCTCGCTGGGGGCCTCTACCCCTGTTTGTCCATCTGCCTGGAATCTTGATGTCTTCTCATCCCTCCGGACACTGCTCAAGGGTTGTCTTCTCACAGAGGCCTCCCCCACCTTCTCAGTGAAAGAACTGTGCCCACAATCCCCTCACATTCTACCCTGTCTTCTCCTTTCATCATTCTCTGAAATAACTTTATATATAGGTGTTTGCATGCCCTTCTCCCTCAGGTAAGCTTCCTGAGAACAGGGCCCTGGTATACGAGTACCTTTATCTCTCATTTCCCAAACGCCTACAGCAATGCTTGAAATAACAGGGGGCTCAATGAATCTGAAAGAATCAATGTTCATACCGATAAAATTAGCAAAGTAGGGTTGTAATCAAGCACTTTCTACTTGGGGGAGACTCGAAGTCTCCCCTGATGGCTTTTTGAGTCTGACAGCGCTACAAAGGGGACCAAGATTTGAAAAGAGCCTCAGTCCCCACCCCTTCCTGGAGCTTTACAAAGGCTACCCCTTTCAATCCTCCCAGCATCCCTATCTGGAAGGGGTTCTTCTCACTCTACAAATGAGGAGACAGAGGTTCAGAGTGGTTATGGTGCCTACGAAGAGCGAGTCCGTGGAGGCGCTGGGATATGAAACAGGTTTGCTGATTTCAAGGCTTGTTCTACTACAAGGTTAACTACAAAGTTTGGGCATGTCTCCAAATATTACCGACTTTTTGAAACAACATACAAATCCATTCATAAGCAATGTATTTACCCCTTCCCTGCCCATGTGTAGTTCCAGGATATATTCAATAATAACTCTTGTTGGGTAACGTGTTCCCAAAGTACCCATTGTGTAAATGTTTTATTTAAAAAATTTTTTCTCTTTCCAAATTTTAAGGAGAAGGATGGGCATTTCTTTGGGCATTTCATCCTGTGCTAGCTTGAATTTTTATTCGCTTATTTGTCCATTAGCTTATTGGCTTTTCTGCCTAAATTTATTTAGATTTCAAAACAGCATTTAAACTAGACTATCCCCATGTACTGTATCCCAATAATTTTATAAAGCTTCATCCTCTCAGGCTGACGAATCCTAATCTTTGCAGTTTGTTTTCACAAAGCATGTCCTCTTTCCCACAGATCATTTCAGTTGCCTTTCTCTGTATCTTTTCCCACCCCAGCACAACTGCTTAATGTTTGTTGAACAAATTGCTTGTAATATTCCAGGTATAAATGAATCTGGCTTTACATTTGAGCAGGGTACTATTTTCTGCTTATATTCCCCCTTTAAATGCCATTTCTAAGCACTTCTGATTTCCGGCTGGCCTTTTACCCACAGTAGGGATAACTAGGGAGAAAAATGTACACTGCCTGTAAAATCTCTTAATTTTGCTATAGCTGATAGTTCAAAGCCATTTAATCTTGGAAGGATGGTTTGAATTATTTCTCCCTAAATTCCTTCTCTTGCAGTTGTCCATGCAGATGCCCACCTGCTATCCTCTGGTCCACTCCTCGAGCCTTGTATTACCTTTCTGCATTTATATTAGTCAGCTTGGCATTTCACTACCTGAAGGAGGCTTGGCAGTTTCTGCAGATCTGGAATTTCACCATAAACTCCTCCTTTCAGATGATTTACAATCATGCTAAAGTAAGCGCCAGTCCCCATGCTGCTTACCTTGCAGGCAACCAACATTGTTTATACGATCCAGAGAAAGGCCTTGATATCCTCACATTTCCTTTTTTTTTTCTTCAAGCATCAAGATCAAAGAATTTCCCCATTTCAGAACAATACATTAACCTTTTCAAGTGTATTTTGTAAGTCTAAAAGCACTATATTTTATTATTCCGTTTTATTCTTATTCTCAATTACTTTGCCAAAGGCTTCTACTGGATATGAATTCTTCCCATAAAATCCCACCGGCTTTCTCCCAATTGGTAATGGGATCTGACGCTGATGGTGCCACCTTGGGGCTCCGAGTCCTGATAAGAAACGTTTTTATAGTAATACAGACATTCAAAATTATTTTGAGAAATAACTGACACTAAACAACAAATGACTGTGGTAGAATCAAGCTGGTGGAACCTCCATTGCTGCTTTGGGTTTACTCTCCCACAACTCAATTGTGGGCAAGTTACCTGACTCCTCTGGTCTCGGTTTTCTCACCTATAAAGTGAGGACGTTAATGCCAATCTCAAATGTTGTTGGGAAGATGACAAGTGAAATTGTGAGAATAACCAGCACAGTGCTTGGCACATAAGAGATACAACCTTCATCATGTGCTTATTCCAGCTAATGAACTAAAAGGATGCATGGAAATCCTGACCCGAAAAACAGGGACTTGGTCATTTTTACAGTTAATCATGTCAAACAAATTCGCTGGTACTTTGAATGAAGAGACGTAGCTAACCTTGGAAAAGCCCTCATTGAAGTGATATGGACTGGTAGAAATGGATCTGGTTGCTAGCGACTCGTTTAATACTAGACTGAATCTCAAAGAATGTGTGCTGTTCTTCCACGCACACCAGTCAGTCTCCGACAGGAGGTGGGCTGAGCCCTTCTACACTGGAACTCCATTCCTGCCTCCTCCAAAGAACTACCCAGAACAGGATGGATGAATAGAGAAACAGACAGAACAAATTAACAAGGAATGAAAACTCAAATCAAGAACATTTGGATAGCTCTCTTTATTTATCAGAAATGATCCCAAGTCACAGGAGACAGAGATAACTGTCATTTATTGAACATTTACTATGTTCTAGTTGTGCAAGAAACTGAGCCAAGTGTATTATATATGTGTATAAATGTCTCATTTGATCCTTAAAATAACATTATAATTCCCGTTTTAGAGATGCAAAACTCAGAAATCCTGAGTAACTCGCCTGTGGTCACACTGCTAAGAGGAAACCTGGCTCCTGTTCACACTCGGTGCTTTGCCTGCTCTTTACCACTCACCGTGCACGCTCTTCTTCTTGGTATTAACCGCCACACCTTAGCTACACTATCGGTTATACCATTATGATGTGTCTTAAGATGGTGCTTTTTGAGTTGTCATGTTCAAAACATTTATACTGGGTCTTGACCAGATGAAAAACATTAAAATGAAACAGCTTCAGTTTTGGACGAGGCTGATAGCAGTGTCAAGGCCCGGCCAAAAGAGCTCGGCAGCTAGCTACCTCACAGAATTCCCTGTGAAATGCATATACAGGTATCCTCGCTTTTCGAAAATTCACTTTACGCCACTTTGCTTTTACGAAAGACCTACATTAGTACCTGTTTTTGCTAACTGAAAGAAATCTGAAGAGGATTTTTGTTTTAACAACAACAACAAAAAAAGGCAAAAACTGAAAATAGCGTTCAGTGTTTGTTGTGCAGGGAGCTGTTATAGAGGCAGCTGCACCCCAAGTAGCGAGAGCGGCCCCGCCACGTTCCTTCCCCGGGAACCACACTTGGCATCTCAGCACCAAGCCCCCATAGCTTTGACCTGTGTCTGTGGGCATCTGTGCATTAGCTCCATTATTTTGTTCGTCAGTTAGCAGGATGTGTCCTAAGGTAAATTCTTCTTCACTTTAAGCCATTCTGGCTTAAGAAAGGTTTCATAGGGATGCCCTACTTTCGGATAGTGGGGGAAATCTATAAACAAAGAACAAGGTAGTCCTCATCAACCCAAGATTCAGTCTAAGTTGGCTAATACTAGTTGGCTAATACTAGAGTGAAAGGGAGCGTGACATTTGGCTTCAAAACGCCCAGAAACTGACAATATGAAATCCAATCAGCAAGACAGTGACAGAGAATATACCAAAGAAAGGTGGTCATTAGGGGAGAGTCAAGTCGAAAAGCAATTGGGTTTGCCTTAACTGAGAACAGCTTAACACCTGATCATTCTTGTAAGCAGATTGGGAAGTGGTGGAATTCTACCACCCCAGGCACCATAACTGACGACCAGTCAGTTTATAAACCTTTAGTGTTCAAAACGCCAGAGCAATGGTAACTGTGGTAGAGAAAAATTCTGTATGTTTTTCATTATTGCTTGGTTGAAACGTAACTGCATCTACAGAGAACCCAATGGGAGTAAGTGTCAAATAATGGTAACATATTGGGGATTTATTTGTTCTAAGATATTGATACAATTCAGTTCAATTAAAAAAAACAACACTGAATTTCTGCCACAAATTATTTGGAAGGTTCCAAGGAGAAACTTGGAGGGATTGGGCATAAATAACTACACTGTCAGATCATTAACTAAGAAACAATTATTATACACATGAGCATAAGAACGTGGTTCCAACAGATAAGAAATAAAAGGCATTGCATGTTTTCTTAATGGTTTTTAAGACAACATGAGAAATGTGGGTCAAAGGCAAGGAATAATGTTGAAATAACACAGGCCTGCCTCATATTGGTATCATCCATCA